TTTAAGATAACAAATTAATTCGCTCTGCTAAATAATTTGTAGTATTGAGCACTCTTTTATCTATAACGAAAAACAAAACTGTTTATTCAGCACCTGGATCCCAGTTGTGCACTCTTAATCGTGTGGATATATATTCATTTCTTAAAATGCACAAAGTTCAGTTCAATTATTCCATGAAAACTATCGGTATACCAACAAACGATCAATATCGGAGGTGTCTGATCGATAAAACTGAAAGCGTAGTGCATCGTATGAGGTGGAAAGCTAATTTTTACCTGAATGGAAACAGTTGTACGGGGAAAGGCGGAAAGTTTGGTTTACCATCTAAGAAATGCGGGCCACCAGTTAAAGAAATGAAAGGATTTGAAGAAGACCTCATTAAGTTGATATCAGACGTTTCGTTCCGAAATGTGAATGATCCATTCCTTAAACAAGTTAATGAAGACATCAAAAATGTTAATTCTTCCAAAAACATTTTCGTATTCGCTGACAAGACAACTAATGTTTATGAGACTAATCCAGAATCTTATAAAAAACTACTGACAGAGAACATTACAAAAACTTATAAAATTGGTAATAGCAACATAACAGATGATATTAACGAGGAGCTACGGGACATTACTAACAATCTCTCCATCGGAAACCGTGTTGATGTTATGGCTAAACGTAACGCCTTCATTACAATAAAAGATCATAAAGAAAACTTCCCTTCCAATGTAAAATGCCGCCTGATTAATCCATCAAAGAGTGAACTTGGAAAAGTCAGCAAAGTCATCCTTGATAATATCAACAATAACATCCGATCAGCCATAAACGTTAATCAATGGAAAAACTCCAAGTCTGTTATTGACTGGTTCCAGAACATCGAAGGAAAACCCAACCATACATTTTTATCGTTTGACATAGTTGAATTTTATCCTTCCATCACAGAAGACCTCCTTGACCGCGCCATCTTTTGGGCTACAACTTTAACAACAATCCCGGAAGAAGATATTTCCATAATCAAACATGCGCGAAAATCACTCTTGTTTAACAGCGATACAGCTTGGACAAAACGAAGTAGCGATTCATTATTTGATGTAACGATGGGCAGCTTTGATGGAGCGGAGATCTGCGAATTGGTTGGTTTGTTCGTTCTGAGTAAGCTCGCGGAGAAGTTTGGTAAAGAAAATGTTGGGCTATACCGGGACGATGGCCTTGCATTAATTGAAGGCGTTAACGGAAGAAAGGCGGACAAAGCAAGGAAGATGTTACATGACATATTCGGTCAATTTGGTTTGAAGATAACTGCTCAGGTTAACAATCAAGTCGTCAACTTTCTGGATATTACGCTAAATTTGGAAAATGAAAAATTTGCACCGTACAGAAAGCCAAACAACCAACCACTTTACGTTGACAGCCGATCTAACCATCCACCATCCATTCTAAAGCAAATTCCTGTCTCAATTAACAAGCGAATCTCTTCCCTTTCATCTGACCAACAATCCTTCGATGAATGCAAACCTTTCTACGAAAGCGCACTTAAACACAGCAATTACAATGTTTCTTTGGAATATTCACCCAACAGCCCTCCTTCTCCACCATCTACGAAACGAAGGCGCCAAAGAAACATTATCTGGTTCAACCCCCCGTTCAGCAAATCCGTTAAAACCAACATCGCGCGGAATTTCCTACAGCTTCTCGATAAACACTTCCCACCTACAAGTCCTTTGCACAAAATATTCAACCGTAACACAGTCAAAGTGAGCTATAGCTGCATGCCTAATGTAAAGAGCGTTATATCTCGCCACAACAATTGCATCCTGTCAAAACCCACAACCACCCCACCAACATCAGATAATTGCAACTGTAATAACCCGAGTGAATGCCCTATTAAGAAGAACTGTAAATCTAAAAACATAATCTACAAGGCCCAAGTTACATCACCCGACGACGGTGTCATGAAAGAGTATATAGGAATGACGGCGACTACTTTCAAAGAACGATATGGAAATCATAAGAAATCCTTCAAACTCCAAAGATATAAAAACGATACAGAGCTGTCAAAGTACATCTGGGGGCTAAAGAGTAATAATAAAGATTACACCCTAAAATGGTCAATTCTGAAGCGGGCAGGCGCATACTCATCTGGTGCAAAGCGTTGCAATCTCTGCATAGAAGAAAAACTCTGCATAATGGATGCAAACAAACATTTAACACTGAACAAAAGACCCGAGATATTCGCAAAATGCCGACATCGCGAGAAATTTTGGGCGGGAAATTTTGAACGCGCGTGCGAATAATGACGGTGCATACACGTCAGCAAACTATAGATCACGCCATTATAACGAACTGAATTTAATCGCCTGAAGATTGCCACAAATAGTGGCATGAAACTTAAAGTAGCGAGAAATTGAAACATTTTAAGATAACAAATTAATTCGCTCTGCTAAATAATTTGTAGTATTGAGCACTCTCTTATCTATAACGAAAAACAAAACTGTTTATATATATATATATATATATATATATATATATATATATATATATATATATATATATATATATATATATATATATATATATATATATATATATATGAAAAAGCAAATTATTTTCATGACGTATCTGTCAGTTGAAGTCGTGATTTGTCATACAACAACAAATTTTAAATTTGACCAATCAGTGTTCGCTATCCATGACAGTCCGCCATCTTTTTTAGATCAGTGAGGATGACCACCCACGCACAGTGACCCACGCCCGCGATATTTGAGATACTTTAGACTTGGCTAATGCTTTCGTTTCCCCGGGTGTAAATAGCCGGGGGGAATTAGTACCCTCGCACGGCGCTTCGCGCCGCCGGCTCGGGGAATATTTTACAGTAAATAGCCTTCGAAATATATATTTCATAGAGCTAGACAATGTAACAAATAATGGGAATCTGCTAAATAATTTGTAACAATGAAATACTTCTAAACATTTTCAAATTCATATATACTGTACCTTTTTATACTTGATGGAAATCATCACAAATAGTATGTACGAGATTGGCTCCATTTTCACTGTCTCGAAATTCGAAACATCGCCTCCTCGGCGATTTACATAAAAGAAGATTGATGTACATTCGACGTAATATATAAACGTAACATATTAAGAAGAAAGATTACAACAAAAAATAAAAGAATATAAATAATCCGCGGCAATTCAAGTTCCATTCGTGAACTTTTCGTCGCCCCCCTGTCTTTATTTCCACAAAGCCCGCTTGCAGGCTAATACTCCAAGAATCTTGGAGTATTTGCCTGACACGTGACCAGCGTTTACCAGGGCTATGTCGCCGCCTTCAATTCGCGACTAGCCCTGGGTACGAGGTTGTGTGGGGAGTGAGCTAAATAATGTAATGTTTCCACACACATATGCATTGTATGAAGCAAAATACAATTATTAGAACATGTATGTACATTTTATATAAAACTAAGTTAACTAATTATTGTATTTAACCTGATGCACATATAAAGCTCAATATTCATGAACTTTTCATCCATTCTCTATTTAGAAGCCATTGGGGTTCATCTTGTGGGGTCATGTGGTCATTCATGGCTACATTATATATACCACAAATATTGTAAACAGTTAATATACTCTACTTAAGGGCATGCACTACACATGTCTTAAACTTTAATATCATTAAGTTATGTCGAGTTAAAATTGCAAAATATTATAAATATTTGATTTCCAAAAAAAACACAAGAGAAACACACAATGTATTCATACAGTTTAACTGAATAAGCTATTATGCTATAATCCTATAAATTACCTTGTCACCCTTGTAAGTGAAATTGTCTTGTTTTGTATCATGTCAAACTTCTTTATTTAGCTTGCATTTTATTTAAACTGTTTCAATCTCGTGCTTTCTTCATGCTGCAAACATGTTTTATCAAAATGTTTTATATCTATATCATATCCCAGTGCCATATCGAGAAACAGTATCGTCACGAATTCGGAAACTGTCGGCGTAATGCGGTAATGTTTAGGTTACATGAAGTATATCGTATATAAATGGTAGGAATTCTAATTTCTAAATTTTAAAATTAAAAACAAAGTAATACAGTATTAAACAAATGGCTTATGGCGCACTACATCGCGGTTTTAGGTTCTGCAAACAAACAACAGAGACTACAAAACCGTGCAGCTAGAGTAATCACAGGTGATACCTATGAAATTCGCTCAACGGATATTTTAAAGAAATTAAATTGGAGAACACTCGAATAGAGAAGAAAGGAGCAAAAATTAGAATATGTGAACAAAGCCCTTTCAAACCAATGTCCAGAAAACGTTTCAACTATGTTTAAAATCTCAAATTCTGATAAATATAATTTAAGAAGTAATAACAAGATGCTGATGTTGTCGAAGCCTAAAACAAATTCAATGAAAAGGACATTCGGATATGCTGCTGCTAAAGACTGGAACTATAATAGTAATAATTTTAAATCTACTTAATTCATTTGTAATTTATATATTTAACGTATCGCTTCGACCCAAGCTTTTCTTAGTATCTTTTAATATTTTTATAATAGTTTATACAATAGTATTTCGAGTTTTAATTTGTATTTAATAACACGGCCTAATGAAAAACAACCTTTATAATTTTTGTAAATACTGATAGGTAACATGGTTGATTAGTTACCGTGTATAAAGATGTTGTAATAATAATAATAATAATAATAACAACGAAAGATCTATTGTATGGTATGTACGATGTAATTGTAGCCCAGCCTCCATTTACACCAATAATGAAATTAACTCATTATGGTAACTAGCTCAATTCTGTTGCTGGTAGTGTATGGGATCTATGGGTCTTTCAGATCCCAGAATTACCTAATTATTGTAAAGTCTGCATAAAGCAGAAAAAGGCTCTGTTTTTGTCAATGACCGGTGCCTATTGAGTGACCAAATATTGTCAGCCTAATCCACTTATTTGATTGCTATTTCGCATGTGTTATTTTTACATCGGAGAAGAGATGTTAAATTATGTGCCATGTATAGGCTAGATCTTCTTTCCCTGCTCTTGTCGCAACGTCCGAAGTAAGAACGACTGAAAGACGTAATGTTGTTGCTGCATCTTGTAGTCTCCGTATGAGTTCCTCCAGAGACGTGTCTTCCTCGATACTATGGCTCCATTCGTTGGCATGGCCAAGTTGACTAAAGAGAGTTAATACTCTCATGCAGTGTAAACTTACCCAACCAAGTAATAAAGGCCAATAAACAGAAGTTATTCAAGTTAACTTAAGTGTTTCAAATTTGTAATTCGCAATACGAATAAATGAAATTAATATGGGATATATGAAATTCGCAATGGGAATATTATGTAATTCACAATGCGAATAAATGAATTTCGCAATCCGAACATATGTAATACGTAATACGAATAAATGAAATTCATATGGAATATATGCAACTCGCAGTGCATTTTTATGTAATTCGCAATGCGAAAAATGCAATTCAATGACAACAGTGCGAATAAATGAATTCAATGCGAATAAATGAAATTCAATGGCAATAAAGAAATGTTCGGCGCGTCATAATTATTGAGGAACCTCTTTATGGAATCATCAAATCCAAAATGCTGTTACAAAAGCTTCAAAAGAAATAGGAATGATGCGTTTGCCCAAATCAACCTTAGTAAAAATATATAATGCCATTGTGTTATCACACTTTGATTATTGTAGCTTGGTTTTGGATAACTGTCGTGATTACCTAAAAAACAGACTTCAGAAATTACAAAACAGAGCGGCCCGAATCATCACAAGTTACTTCTGAGGATGTTTTAAAAGAATTAGACTGGCAGCCTTTAAGCCAACGTTATAAAACCAATAAATCACATTTTATGCACAGAATACGAAACGAAATAAAAAAATACCATCATCAATTTCTAACTTGTTCAAAATTAGAATAAATGACAGATATGATTTAAGAAGTAACAATAACCGCTATGATCTTGGACAACAGGAAACAAATTTTATGAAAAAGAATTTTAGTTACTCAGCTGCATCCTTTTGGAATGACTTATCAATTACAGCAAAAGAGAAAGGCATTAGCCTTAACAAATTTAAACGTATCCTTGACGGCACTTGATTCAATTTGGTAACTTTGTAAATATTTAAATAGTAATAGGATATATTCAGAAACAAATGTAGTGCATGCAATTATTAAGTTTGTTATGTTTTCTCTGTTTTTGTGTATATATTTGTGCATTTTATTATATTTATAGCTTGTAAATACTTGTAATAAACGGCCTCTTGAAAAGCAGGTGCCTGCGAGTCCTGAAGAGCTACCGTTTTAAAAGATTTTTAAATAATAATAATAATAATAATAATAATAATAATAACAACAAAAACTTGATACCAACAGCCTGTTTTCCGAAATAAAGAGCAATTTCAAATCTGTTCAGTTTTTATACACCCTGCATATATTTGTGACAAAGTCAAAGTGGGAAATCGTAAAGCTAAAGCCTCAAGAGAAAATGTTTACGAGTCGGATGTATTTTTTAACTGAATTTTATTGCTATAGTTTGCATGATTTTTCTATAATCTAGACTACCTAATGGGAACTTCTGTGGAAACATTCCCTTTAAACGTAACTATCCTAGCTAGAATAATACCTATAATCAGCAGTTTTTAAACGGATGTTAATATTCTTAATGTTGCGTTTTCTTCGTATCCAAGATCTCTGTTCTTCCCATCCCAGTCTGGGTTAGAAAGAGGAGACCCAGAGAACAATATTCGTCCTCAATCACCAGAAAGTAGCTGCCATAGTGGTATAATTAACACTAGCAACCAACTCAAACGCATGCCAGATACGCCAGAAGGCATTGTAGAAGGCACAGGACAATCTCCCAGTGAAGAATCATCACCGTTCTCGTCTTCAGGAGAATTGCCTAAACAATAAAGATTGGGTAAAGAAGGGCGTGATAAATAAAATTATTGAGTGGGATAAGTCGTTTCTACAATTCTTCTCACAAAACTTGTCACTGTTATTGCTAATATTATTGGTTGTAATTGAATCTGATTTGCTACCATGCACCAATACGTGTGACTTGTAATTATACATTTACAACAAGTAAATATGAAACACGATTAAAAGATATAAATCAAATTCCAGTGGAAATCCCACACGACTCCTTCTAAAAAAATAGCTAGCTCTTTAAATGCTATAGACTGCACACGAGTCATTTGTGTGGACCTTTTCGAAGGTGTCGGATGTCACGGATGGACATCCTAAGCGTACCTTATCATCAGAATTTACTCTGATGAGGCTGTAACTTCCGCTCAATGCTACGTGCAAAATCCCTTTACGATGGTGCGATCTATTATTATTCAGTCTTACTTACCTTTCTCGTCAACATCTTCATATTCATAGCCGAAATCAAGAGATTTTCTAAACATTTCCTTATGAGTGTACACCGGAAACATAGGTACAATGACGTCATTTTTACTGTGACCTAAGGGCGCATTGAATTTGGAAAGAACTGAAGAATCTTTTTCAAACTTCCGAAGCCACTTTTCGTAAATACGATCCACAAATGAATGATGAAGATGAAAGATCGGGTCGTTCGAAGCCGAAGGGACATCTCCCATGATTCTACCAATGACTATAATAAATAATAATAAACAATTACCGAATGAGGTTAAGTATGATATTGACAATTATCAAGGCCGAGTTTTGTGTTATCCACCGAAGCCGAAGGCTAGTGTGGATAACACAAACCGAGGCTTTAATTATTCTCGATGTCATACGAAAACCGAATTCAATAATTGTTTTATTATATATTCAAATGTTAGAAAGAAAGCAAAGACACTTTGTTTATGCATTTTTGTGCACTTTTTAGCAAATAATGACCGCGTCGGGGCCCGCTAACCACAGCGTGCAATAATACTTTTTTGGACCGAACTTCGGTCCAAAAAAAGTATTATTGCATGCTGATGTCAGCAGCTGAAATAACGCGACGGCTTCAAGATACCGTGTGAATCATCCAACGCGTTTTGACTAATAATCACGAATGAGAATAGACTTTGAATGTGTAATAATAATAATTATTTATTTATAAAGCGCTGAAAACTATAAATATTTAATAGTGCTATCTCTACAAATTCAAGTAAAATGTTATAAAATATGAGAAGCTATACCTATATGCACCCGGTTATGCAAGGTATGCACATTCGGCAAACGATAACCTGTTTTGCTGCTACTGTAACCCTCCAGGATATTTCTGAAATTGCAGCTGGACTCTGTGCTGTAAGGTGGAACGTCATAAAATCCAAATCGAAGTGCAAAGTTGACATCGTCGTTCGTTGGGAACGTCATGATGAATCCACGCTCTTTCACTGCATCCTGCTTATCGTTTAGGGTGTTCCTTGTCAGTCCACTCATCTGGTCGTTAGGATTACAAAGCATTGTGAGGTGGTTCGTCAGTTCTCTGGTGCAAATTACCCACCATTTGTCCAAGTATTTCCCTTTAACAATACCACTGGATTGGTCAGTAACGCCGAGGAGATCCTCAGAGCAGATAATGGAGTTGCACTGGGTGGGATTTTCAGTCCAGTCCCAGTATGGAAGAGCAAAATCGTCATCGTTCGCTATTTCCTACAAAATAGGCATACATAAATAATGTACTTGAAAAGATGACATTACCGCTGTTATTTGATCATTTTATTCTAAATGACGGGCGCACAATGTCGTTTTCATGAGACGTTATGTTATTAAATTTCTCTGCTATACGTTTGACACGAACGACTAGTTTAAACCCTTTATGTTTAGTAGCGATTATAAACAAGTTTCAGAGCAACTTTGAGCAAAATTGAGTCAATAGATTGCGAGGAGAAAATTGCTTCGAATTCACACAAGAATGAAGCCAGTTCGACTAAAATTGGACTTCGAAAACGACCCTTCCGTACGTTTTAAAGTGAATAAAGTGATCCGTAAGTGCACAGTAAACAATTTACCTCTTGAAAAAAGCTATATGACCAAGCTTTTGAACAAGAGCAGATTTCGTGCTTGACCAATCAGCTCATTTGTTTACATTTTCGCTCTCAGCTAATTAATCATAATGCAGGAAACGCGAAATTTACACCAAGGCGAGCTAGAAAATATTGCCATTTTCACGGGCTTCCGTGAAATTCAATTTTAACTTTTTTAATTTAAAACCAAAAGATTATAATATAGCACATTAAAATCTAAAACTCTCCCTTGGACATTTTTAAATTTCGACTTGGAACGGAAATTATCCATGTTTGAAATTTTTCCCTATGTCGCGTATACAAATTTGAGTAATCTAATTTGACTGCAATAAAATTAAAAATTGCTATATTTTCTCTGCTTTACGTTTTTGTTGCAAAACTCATTTTCGCTCTTGTTGAAAATCGTTTTGGTCAATGTATTATTTCATAACCTAGAAGATAACGCAAACTTTCAGAGAGTCTGATTTTCTGCAAAATCGGTCGGACAATATTTTTGTATTGATTTCTCGTATGATCGCGAGCGTGCGACTATATTTTTTAAATCAGGCGCTATGAACGCGTTATCGTCTAGGTTTTGATATAAAACATTCACTAAAACAATTTGCAACAAGAGCGAAAAAGAGTTTTCCAACAAAAGCTTAAAGGCAGAGAAAATATAGCAATTTTTAGTTTTATTGCATGCAGTCAAATTAGATTACTCAAATTTGTATAGGCGACATAGGGAAAAATTTCAAAAATGGATATTTTCCCTTCTAGGTCGAAATTTAAAATTTAAAAAGTTAAAATTGAATGTCACGGAAGCCCGAGAAGACGGCAATATTTTCTAGCTTGCCTTCATGGTCAGAGAATAAGGAAACGAACCAGAAGGGACACTCCTTTGATGTTAGACGGTCGCGCCGACATATACCTGCATACACCCGCGAGCGAGCGTCGGCCATGTTCTTGGGTAGTAAAATGAGAGAACAACCTCGTCCTCAGGGTCTTCCTCGTGGTGGCACGCGAGCTGAGGAAGACCCACTGAGCTATACCTGTACTTAATATATCTGGAGATCGTGCTCCAATACCTGGTCAGTCAAGAATGTGTGACCAAAATCATGGCGGATTTTGGCCAAATTTACGTCATTTTGACGTCACAATCGACCTAAATTTATGGTGAACACCACTGAGCTTAAATACTAAAGTGAAGAAAAATGTTATTCACACCCCCCTTTCAATTTGCTTAAAGCAGAAGGAGGTAAATTCAAAATTTCGGTCGGAAACTTTCCTTTATTAAAGCGAGACATTTGCAACCATGTCAACTTTTTGTTCAATTCCTGGTTGCCAAAAATCTACTGAAAGAAAAGATCTGTCCTCTCATGGGTAACGTTCGTATAATCTCGTTTTTTTGTAATAATTTAACGCATGCTGTATTGCTGTATTGAATGCGTAAATTTTTTGAATTCATGAAATTTATTGGCAAGCAACGTACAATACAATCTACGTTAGTGAATCAGTGGAAACCCCCATGAAAATAGGTCGATTGTGACGTAAAATCCGCCATGTTTTTGGCTACACATTTTCTTCGAGAGCGTGATCTCCAGATATATAAGTATAGCTCAGTGGGAAGACCCTGGTAAAATACGATGAAATCTCCAAGATTCTTGGAGATTTATCGCATGCGCAGTAACGACAACGCTATGTTGCTGACTACGATTTTCTTGCTTAAAAATATACATGTTTTGTTTGTTGTTTATGTATTTATTCTCAAAGTTTTTATTCCAGCCTTAAATGAACAGTGAAAACACATCATACTTTCTCATCAATTCCATACTTTCTCATCAATTCGGATTATCGTTAATACAAGTAACAGTAGAAATGCTTAAAAATTAATTCTGTTTTCTATGTAAAACAGAGCTTTTATTTTTCTTTGTGGTAGTCACCACTAACCAAGTCAAATATCGGCCATTCCATTTTGATTTATCCTATGAGGGAGAGGAGGTTTTTACCTTAAATTTTCGTAGAGGATAGTTTAAGGTGGCTCGCTACAGTTTATAGAAATGTTGAAAATGCGTAAACTGGATCACCTTTTTGAAGAGATGATGCTCTTTACAAATCGAAATTTGTATATTATATATACAGCGACAATCAAACAGTCGAAAATTGGTCAGAAAAGTGACGTCACCACTGTTGCTATGGTAACAATGACGATTCAAGATGGCCGATATTTTGGCTTTGAACGCATTTTACTTTAAAAAAAGGTCGGTTACCTCCATTTTTTATTTCAGAAAACATTTTCTTATAGTGCAATGCACTATCTGACCAATTTTAAAAAAATTCTGTAATGCAAAACAAAAATTATTTCGAAAAACCATGTTTATAAATTTTTTAAAAATTTGGCATTACAGAATTTTTTTAAAATTTGTCAGATAGTGTATTGTACTATAAGAAAATGTTTTCTGAAATAAAAAATGGGGGCAACCGACCTTTTTTAAAGTAAAATGCGTTCAAAGCCAAAATATCGGCCATCTTGAATCGTCATTGTTGCCATAGCAACAGCGGTGACGTCACTTTTTTGACCAATTTTCGACTGTTTGATTGTCGCTGTATATATAATATACAAATTTCGATTTGTAAAGAGCATCATCTCTTCAAAAAGGTGATCTAGTTTACGCATTTTCAACATTTCTATAAACTGTAGCGAGCCACCTTAAGAGATTTCCCCCAAATAGCAAAAACTAGGTGTTTTAGTGATATCCAAGGGGGCAGGAACAATATCCTAAAGGGTACAAAGATATCCATGAAGGTTCCAGAATTGCATCAAAGGGGGTTCCAAAATTTTTAAGGGGATTATGAAGGGACCCCTCAATTGGGTGAGGGGGGGGGGGGCTATGTTAAATGGAAAGGCCCAATGTGCTATTACAACGTTAACTTTTAAAACTGTAAAAATGTTTTTAAGGCACAATATGTGATGGATTTTGATATGATGATCAACACAACCTTAAGATCTTGACTGAATGAACAACTTATTTGATATACCCCTAGTTCCAATACTTCGCTCAACCTTGCAAGCCAGGCTCTCTACTCCGCTTCCCTCCCTAACACGCTCCAGCCGAGACCCTGGTTCAGGCTGGTCACGTGACACCTTAACTCACTTTGTCCCATGGGAGGGTAGGCTGAAGCATGTGAAATGCAAAGAACAAGTTTCTAGGAGTGTTGATTTTGAATATCGAACATTGGATTAATCAAAATGTATGATTTAATTCTTTAGTTGTTTAGATTTTTGTACTGTAAAATGTGTAACCGGAATATAGTATTACTTTTAAAGCTTTAGACCAAGAGCGATAGCCGGATAAAAACAACTGCTTTAATGACTGATGCCGTTTTAAAACAAATTCTAAATTTACCGCTTTTAGTTTTATCTGTTATCGAACTAAAAAAAGAATTAATGTAATTCTTGGCCTTGGTCCTATTGCATCGAACGGATGCAATATGATATATGTAACTGACGAGACACACGTAAACAAACATGAATTATTACCTCCGCCATGAGGTTATATAATTATCTGGGTTTGTATGTATGTATCTGTGTGTTTGTCTGAGAGCACGATAACTCAAGAAATACCAAACATATTCATACAAAAGTTTTTGAATGCATTTCCCATCCGCTAAGGAAGAACTGATTAAACTTTGGTTGAATTTGGTTAAAAATTGAACGAAAAATGAACAAAATTTTGTCTTGCTTTTCCCGGTCAATTAAAAAAACTCACTGAATGCGTAATTAGGACGTGTATAATGTATGGACGCAGTACTAGGCCAATAATGAGCGAGATGATAAACCTCATTAAGCTTCAGCCTTCATTATCTATTGTCTTAGTTGCATTTCACACGACCGAAATTCAATGCGGACGGAGGTATACAATCTCTGAGTGCCCTCTAGTTTGGAAATAGATTTGGCTGACGCTTGTTTATAAAATTGCGAGTCGACAAGTACATTTAGTACAAAACAACGTATAGCTATAGGGTACAACAAAGGCTTACAAAGCCTTGGAATTATCGACATGAATTAATACTTGTTTTACAATGGTCCATTATAAACAAGCGTTGCTTGCCGTTGGCCGATTGTCTATCCAGCCGAACACCATGGGCGTACGGGAAGGAAAAATTAGGGAGGCGGAAAGAAATTTGTCCGACTTTGCCGGAGAAATTAAACTTTCCAAAATTGTTGTCGACGGGGTGGAGGGAGGAGTGATTACGAACAATTCCTATTAGATAGCATATTTCCCACAAAATTGACAGAATTTCCCACAAAATTGACAGAATTTGTCCCATTTATTTTTATAATAAGCCAATATTGCCCGACTGTGAAGCGAATCTTGCCCGACTGGCTTTGTTTGCCCAACAAACTGGGGGCGGCTGCCGCACGTATTTTCCTATTTTCACGTGATTGGAAATGGAGGCGACATAGTTTGTGTATCCAATGCACACTATATAGAGCGTTATTTTGAAGGGTTAACCGCTAATTTCGACATATACTTATTATATGCTATTTGAGCCTGCGATCCTCGGGAAGGAACGTGAGGCTCTGGGATAATCCGTTTCAGGGAGGAATCTGATTAGCCGTTGAAATGGAATGCGCAGTTCAATATTAGCCAGGATTCCTGGCTTCCGGCAACGGGTTATCCCAGAGCCTCGTGTTCCTTCTCCAGGTTCGCAGGCTCGGGGAACGAGATTCCCCTGCGACAAGCCAAACCGGAACACCACAAAGTAGTCATGGCTACGGAAACAAAGACGAGTCATTATCTCACTATTTTATTTTCGACGTTTTACGTATTTTTAAACTTTTTTTTGCGTTTTATCAAAATTCAACAGTCAAATTATCCTGCATAAGACATTCCAAATTGTTATAATTCGGCCTCTAAGAAAAAAGATCCTTCATAAACTTCATATTCTGACTGGCTCATTTCGGCATTTCAGCCCTCAATCAAACCTCTAGCCAGTGGCGTGCTGGGTACTATTTTTCTGGGGAGGCCAGTCGGCTGGCAACTAATATGCGCCCGGGTAATATTACCCTTGATAAACGAGGGCCGAAGGCACGAGCCGAGCGCCGCAGGTGCGAGGTTTGTCTAGGGGGGTCCGGGGGCATGCCCCCCAGGAAAATTTTTGAATTTAAAGTCTCTGAAATGCCATTTCCTGGACTTTGGGGGAAGATTTGACAGAAATCTGATGGTCAGGAAACGGCATTACAACGTGTCGAAATTTGAATATTGGTTAGAATTTAGTAGTAGCACTTAAATTGGGCAATGCTAACTACTTCCAGCAATTAATCTAATCCCAATTCTATTCTCTACTGATCTGAATACATTTACAATTTACGGCTCTTTTATACAATAACACACGAACCCCACGCATATGCATTTTAAGGTTTCCTTGCCTGGCTGCCAAAAGGGCGTGTTTCATCATTATCTCATTACTTACATTTCTCATAATGTTTCTTGCGCAAACAACTAAATTGCGTACACAACTTTACATTATCATAACTTCACCTATCTAATTTGCGCCGCTCTCGTGATTCGTGAAGCATAATACCTTCATAATATAAGGGCATAATACCAGCAAAAAAGGGCATAATTCCCGTGATCGCTTCGAAACCTGACCAATATTCCGGTAATGAGACATTGGGTGTGATCACTGATCATGTTTCTATATGAACGATTTCGTGTGAGCCGTGAGGTAGCAAATTAGCAAATACGGTTAGACAAAATAGTCTATAATTTAATATATTGCTTTATCGCCTATATTCTTAGTCTGTTTATAAGCCTATAAACACATCTCTTCAGTTTCTTGGCGGAAGTAACTATATTTTTTCGAATTTCGCGTTTTTCTCCACCCACTTTCAAAATTCAGGGCGGGATCGGCGCCCCCTTTTCA